ACTTACTTGGTTATACCCTACCGTCTTACTTTTGTGATTAACTATAATCAAGCAGCCAATTTTAATTTAACTTATTATTAATTCAGTTTTGAGGGGGAGGGGCAGAGCCTGCCGAAATTACGTGAACACATAAATCCCTAGGGCTTAGAGCTTGTTTACTCTTCTCTGTCGTCTGCAGCAACTCATTGCTGACAGCTTTAGTAAAATCTGGGCACCAGTACTTCATTTTATGTTTGTTTGAGATGTATGTGTATTATTTATTATAATGTTTTTACAATGAACAGAGTAGCGTCTTTGTTAAATTGTAAATTTTCTTTGTTACTGCTTGAAGAAAAATGTTCTTCAGGTAGCCTAAAAACACGTTTTAAGGCTTTTATTTTTCAAAATTTTCCCGGGGGAGCACCCCCGTACCCCCTTTGACCCCTGGGGGGTATTCCATACCCCCCAGACCCCCCGGATGTGGACCTCCACCACAAGTTTCTGACCCCCTAACAAAAATTTGCTTCCGCCGCCCCTGATAGACACGGCAAGTGGGTGAGAGTCCTTTGGACTGTGTCACTCAAAATTGTTGTTGTACAGGTAGATGTCGCTGAACCATCAAAGAAGAAATGTGAAGATAACCAGAGCAATACTCTTCTCTTCTACGATCCATCTACAATTTCAAATTATGACTGTAGTTTAGGCCCAACTTAAATTTTCAATGAAAAATCTAAAGAAAATTATACTCTTTAACCTAAAAAGACTAAAAAAATAAAACTACAAAAACAACAAAGATATTTTTACATTAGGCTGTATAAACAATTGTGCGTTTTGAAATACTAAACCATAAAATATTACAGAGAACATTTTCAAGTAGGTCCGTTGTCAATTTATTTCGTATAATAGTTTTTTTTATTGAAACAAAACTTTTGCATTTAAAATTCATTGCTATTTACATTTGTTTTATGCAGTGGTTTTTGTGAAGCCTGCCTCGGTTTCTGCCCAAATTATCTACATATCACTTATACTGTTAGTTCCTTTTAGAGTGCGGTTATAAAAAACACTAGAAATACACCCTCAAAACCCCGACACTATAGGAATTTTAGGCTCCCAATTTTTAGATTAGGGAAAAAACATACGGCAATTTCTCTTCTAGGGTCCCTTGACTCCGACTTAACGTTGTGATAAGCGTACACGGATTCCCCCATCGGCTTAGAAGAAAGAAAGGAAGAATGAAATACTGAAAATCTGATATGTTCCTATTTACATGGATTTCCCTCAACCATTTGAAAAGAATAACAAAGAGGAACAAGAGATAAGTAGTAAAGAAGACAATTCATTAACAAGTAATCCCAGAAGTGGACTCCTCTAAAGTAAAAATACACAGCAAAGGCAAGATAAACAACTGGAGGCTATTAAAATTGAAAATAAATGGATTTAAAATGAAGACATAGTACACCCAAGTCTAAAGAAGAACCTGAAATCTTGGAACTACAAAAAAAGGTTAATTTATCAGTGAATTTATTTTAGATAATGTAAGACTAAATTACTTACGTAATACCCGTCACAGCTCAATAAAATATGTCTATTCAGGACATGTTTCGGTGTTAAAACACCATCGTCAGCTTCATTTTATTTCAGATATAGTGTGTAGTGTAGAAGATAAGTTACCGGTAGTCATAAACTTAAAACTATTTAACTTTGTTTAAAAATATCAAACTCTCACCCATTGCCGAACAAAACATACCTTTCCAGTATAAAAAAATTAGTTAATTTATACTGATAATTATATTTGGTTACAAATTATCTAATACTAATGTATAGTATGTTTGTTTCCGGTGGGGTGCTTGATGGAACGAGACCACGGAAGGAATTAAAGTACGGTAAGTCTGCACTCTACCCCTTTCTTTTAGAGAACAGTAGATATTCTTTAGTATAATAAGTTAATTTTATTCACATTTTGTCTATTACACTGCAGTTAAAAAATTCCAGTCGTAATCTTTCTATGAGAAGATGAAATGCATAAAACTGATGTAAGATCATAGTTTAGTATATTTATTTTAAAATTTTGAGCAGAAAAGGTTGTTTTAATTGCCAAAATTCATTGGAATCATTACATCATCTTTAAAGTTTCTAATCTATGGTTATAACTGATACTAATGTATGGTATGTTTGTTTCCGGTGGGTTCGGGATTCAACGAGGCGATCACAACGGGTGTTAAACAATGGTAAGTACGCCTTATGTCCCTTTCTTTTAGAGTATAGTAGAGGTTCTTAGCCTTATATTCATGTATTACTCAAACCCTGAAGCTCAATATTGGATTGGTAACATAGACACGGCAAGTGGGTGAGAGTCCTTTGGACTGTGTCACTCAAAATTGTTGTTGTACAGGTAGATGTCGCTGAACCATCAAAGAAGAAATGTGAAGATAACCAGAGCAATACTCTTCTCTTCTACGATCCATCTACAATTTCAAATTATGACTGTAGTTTAGGCCCAACTTAAATTTTCAATGAAAAATCTAAAGAAAATTATACTCTTTAACCTAAAAAGACTAAAAAAATAAAACTACAAAAACAACAAAGATATTTTTACATTAGGCTGTATAAACAATTGTGCGTTTTGAAATACTAAACCATAAAATATTACAGAGAACATTTTCAAGTAGGTCCGTTGTCAATTTATTTCGTATAATAGTTTTTTTTATTGAAACAAAACTTTTGCATTTAAAATTCATTACTATTTACATTTGTTTTATGCAGTGGTTTTTGTGAAGCCTGCCTCGGTTTCTGCCCAAATTATCTACATATCACTTATACTGTTAGTTCCTTTTAGAGTGCGGTTATAAAAAACACTAGAAATACACCCTCAAAACCCCGACACTATAGGAATTTTAGGCTCCCAATTTTTAGATTAGGGAAAAAACATACGGCAATTTCTCTTCTAGGGTCCCTTGACTCCGACTTTACGTCGTGATAAGCATACACGGATTCCCCCATCGGCTTAGAAGAAAGAAAGGAAGAATGAAATACTGAAAATCTGATATGTTCCTATTTACATGGATTTCCCTCAACCATTTGAAAAGGATAACAAAGAGGAACAAGAGATAGTAAATAAGACAATTCATTAACAAGTAATCCCAGAAGTGGACTCCTCTAAAGTAAAAATACACAGCAAAGGCAAGATTAACAACTGGAGGCTATTAAAATTGAAAATAAATGGATTTAAAATGAAGACATAGTACACCCAAGTCTAAAGAAGAACCTGAAATCTTGGAACTACAAAAAAAGGTTAATTTATCAGTGAATTTATTTATTTTAGATAATGTAAGACTAAATTACTTACGTAACTCCCGTCACAGCTCAATAAAATATGTCTATTCCGGACATGTTTCGGTGTTAAAACACCATCGTCAGCTTCATTTTATTTCAGATATAGTGTGTAGTGTAGAAGATAAGTTACCGGTAGTCATAAACTTAAAACTATTTAACTTTGTTTAAAAATATCAAACTCTCACCCATTGCCGAACAAAACATACCTTTCCAGTATAAAAAAATTAGTTAATTTATACTGATAATTATATTTGGTTACAAATTATCTAATACTAATGTATAGTATGTTTGTTTCCGGTGGGGTGCTTGATGGAACGAGACCACGGAAGGAATTAAAGTACGGTAAGTCTGCACTCTACCCCTTTCTTTTAGAGAACAGTAGATATTCTTTAGTATAATAAGGTAATTCTATTCACATTTTGTCTATTACACTGCAGTTAAAAACTGGAGGCTATTAAAATTGAAAATAAATGGATTTAAAATGAAGACATAGTACACCCAAGTCTAAAGAAGAACCTGAAATCTTGGAACTACAAAAAAAGGTTAATTTATCAGTGAATTTATTTTAGATATAGTGCGTAGTGTAGAAGATAAGTTAGTCATAAACTTAAATCTTTTTAACTTTGTTTAAAAATATCAAACTCTCATCCATTGCCGAACATAACATACCTTTCCAGTACTAAAAGATTAGTTAATTTATACTGACAATTACATTTGGTATAAATCAAAATCTAATAGCCTAAAATCCTAAAATCTACAACAGTAAAAAAAACCTATGACATAAAATAATTTACAATTTGTTTCTGAACTTTATCACAATATCAAATCTATATCGCCATCTGCTCCATTAAATTCTGTTGACCATCTACCGGTACCCACGCCACAGGGGAAAACTCAAGGTTCCTAGCTGACTTTCCAACTGATGACATTTTTAGCGAATTTCCCTATAGGGAATGTAAAATACAAAAGATAGCCATTACCGTAGTACTGACGATATGAAATTTGGTATAAACGTGTAAACCTACATTTATTCGAACGAGTTCGCGAACCAGCATGATCGGACTATGGGAACAAAATGGGTAAAAATTGCTTATATACCCTAAAAACATACAATTTTGCAAATTTTTCCATATTAATTTGTAGAGCTTAAAAAAGCAAATAATTTAGTATATTGAAGAGTTATTATGCACCTAATAGTTACGGAGGAAATTCTAAAAAATAGTCAATTTAAAATTCCCATGTTTTTTTATGGAGAATAAGTAAAATCTTGTTTATGAACATATGTTGATCAAATTTGGAAAATGTATTCATTTCATACTAAACTAAGTTACTAACATTTCACACAAAAAAAACACCTTTTTATCCTCCCTGTTGCAGCAAACCTAAGTACTTAGGTTAAGCCATTGTTATTTAAATGGGGAATTAATGTGATATTTTTAAGAAGATATTTTTGAGTAAATCCAAGGCAGATTGAAATTCGCTTAGTCTGCAGGTTTGCTGCGGCGGGGGGATTTTATTATGGTTCCGGTTATCCCAGGTTTTGGTTTAACAGAGTGAGGTTAAAAGGGATTTTAATGTGATTCCAAGTCTGTTTAAATTAGAAACTGGTGTAATATACATTTACTTAAAATTGTTTTCAGGTTGATTCTATTTAAACCCAAAAATCGCTAGTCACACTCCTAACTTACCTTATAGTTATGTGGTATTACTGGAGACACCTGTCTACATGTTAGTTTGATGCCGTGTTCTGGAATGTTGTATTCAGTCCAGGACCTGGGATAGAGTGCTGTGTACCTGGCCTGGTCCCCGGGGAAGCCCCACTTCCAGGAACGCAGCTTCCCCCCTTCAGCACCACTAAACATACGATTGTCCAGTCAGTAGCTTTGTGTTGGTTAGAAAATGGACTCGGCTGTCCATGATCATTGGGCTTTTAATGGTCCATGCTATAAAACCAGTTAACAAATTATCTTGATAGTCAAATGGTTATAGTGCTCCTGGGTGACATTTAAGATGTGTCATGTCTAAATAGCTCTTTAAACCTTGCTACAATGGTGTGCTAAAATAATTTAATCAATTGGTGTTAATTTAAATCTGGAAAACTGTATGAAAAAGATCAATCAAGAGACAAAAGTCCCGTTTCATCCCGCATCCTGTTTTAATCCCACACATGGCCTAAAAATACTGTTTTCGGGATTCCCACAGAAACACTGGCCTATTCCCTTTTTTTATTCACGTATATTGGTTGAATTCTATTTTCTTTTAATCAACCAACAAAAAATCAATTGATTGTGTAGTTTTACCTCAAAGTTGACAAGACCTGTTGGTAGACAACTTTTCCCTCAGGGTTCTGGATTGTGACGATGAACTGGTTTGCATCCACTGAATGGTACTCGTAGAAACCTGGCTGCATCTGGTATCGGCAAAACTCCCCTCGGAAACTTCTGCCGATCGTCCCTCCACCGATCCCTCCCAGGGGTACTCCTGTGGAAACACTTGCTTTTAATACTTCCTATACTTCAACAGTCGAAGAGAGGAATTTTGACTAAAGGCGTCTTTAGCAACCAAAGTAACGTGACGTCCAGGATTCTTTTTAAACCCCTGTACTTTTACAGTCTTTCCATTATATTAATGTTTCTGTTTAATGGAACAATTTTTTATAGTCATCAAAATGTATATAAGCATTCAATTTGGTTGTTTTTCAACTCAATTGGGTGATCCATATCAGAGATATTAAAGGTATAACTCACACACACATAATTTTTTCCTCGACGCCATGTCGATCACCTGCTCTTGTTGCAAAACACTCTCACAACCATTGATATAAAAAACAGTATCTATATATTTATAGACAAGCTCGTTTCTTTAAACCTTTTTTTCTTGGCTCGTGTGCATAGCAGGAAAAATCTATACATATTTTTAGAAAGGTATTTGCCTTTAGATGTGCAGAATACCTTTATAACTTAAAATAGGCTCGAAAATAAGCAAAAAACCTTCATTTAAACTTTAAATAAATTAACATGGGCCTTATGGGTTTCCATGCGAGTGACGAAATATAAACAGAAAATCAAAACAAATTGATGAAATTCTAATCACATGTTTTATTTACAGGGTGGGGTGAAAATAGAGTAGTCTGTACATTATATATTTTTGGTTGAGCTTTTGACCACCCGACGACCTCTAGTTTATATCAATGAAAACCGCACCAAAACTTTGACTAAGGTGCCTTGACTTGCCAAGCATTCTACTGTAGGCCTATGTGTTCACTTAGCAACAATGCAATTGGAGTGACTTACCTCGCCTCGATTGTTGCATTATGCTGCCTGCTTTAAATCTGTCTCTCACTTCCAGTGAATTAATAATTAATCCATCTTAAAGGATTATTTTTAAATATTGGTTTGGATTGTTTATCTATCTGAAGGTCACAGGTTTGATCTTGAGGATCAATTTCTGACCCAGTTGTCTTAATTCACTGGATTAATATTACAAGGTGCTTTCAATATATTATCTTGGCATTTGACAGTCACCAGACCATGGTTTGGAACTTCCATTTTTATGTCTTTGAAATACCTTTGACATTATATGGTAAAAACTGAATTGAACCTTAAGACAAAAGTAAGAATGTCAATCTAATATTATGTATTCTTACATCTTTCTAAGCAAGGGAGCACGACAAGTTCGGAAAATAATAGTCGCAACACTTTTTTTACTGTCCCACAAACATTAATTAATACAAACAATTTGATAAAATATTTTATCATTTTGAAAGTAATCAACCAACCATAGATAATTTGTGTCAAAGTAATGTAAAACCAAACTATTAAAAACTGAATTTATATTAGGTCTATATTAAATATTTAATCTTTTGGGGTAAACTAGTTTGGCAGATAACATTGTGAATTGTTCCAAAGCTAACTAATCTTATCATTTCAATAGTGTTTTTTCAGTTTGATAGTATTGTTATGCATAATCAGTCATTTGCATGATACTTACTCATCTTTTGGATATTTTATGCCCATAATATGTTCTTTTATATATAATGTTACTTTCATGTTAATTGGCCTAGACTTTATAAAATATGCAACGACTCATTGTACCAATCACTAATTGCACCAATCGTTAACAATTAAATCGGTAAACAGCTGATTAGTTGAAATTCAACGCATTACAATTTTACTTCTTCTTTCACAATCCTTGAACCTAATTGGTCTGTTACCCCGTATTGTTAAGTTAAACTATGCTGTTAAGTAAGTAAACAATGCTGTTGTGTGAAAATTTTCAATTCTAAGTACTGAACTGAAACTGCTACTTAAAAAACGGTCGTAAAACAAAAATGCAGGACGGTTTGCTATAATTAAATCAGCACAATCTTTTGAGAAGTAGGCCTATACTACAATATACAAGTCCATAAGTTGTTTTGTTACAAATAGGGAAGAATAAATTTGTTTCAAGAATGATAAACAAACATCAGAATGTTAGTGTTGGATGCTGGGCATATTTCAACCCAAATAAAAATTAAGTTGATTGAAACGTCTAGTTTAGTGTTAGTAACTGACCAACACCAGCTATATCAAAGTGTGTACCACTCTTCAAAGCCCTTTGATCGAAGCCAGCTGATACCAGTTACCATCAAAAATCTACTGACTTTTGTCACAGCTGACCAGATGTGGAAGTGACATGAGCATTCGGCTAGTTTATAAACCAATCAGCCTTTAGAATTTATTTTATATATCTTCGCCCAAACTGTTAAAATTTAAGGAAGTGTTACAACAAATTTCACAAAGTTTAAAATAAAACTAGTGTACCTGTTGATCAAAATCGAGCAATTGTCAAGTAAGTATTTGTAACGTGCCGTTTTTCCCGCTCGGAATATATGCGCTATTCCGTAGTTAAAGCGGGAAAGACGTCACCAACTCTTGCCAGCGGATCGCTCAAGTCGGCGTGCTGGGAAGTTTCAGATAAAAATAATTTATTTGATTTACTTAACAACCTAGCACAGGTACAGATTTGTATATACGCAAAAATGTAGTGTGAATCAGGTGTGAACTCAGTACCGGTAACCAACAACGCTTCAGTACCATCATCATCGTTCACACCTGGGAACAGCTAATTAAATTAAATTTAAAAATAATGAAAACCCGTTCAATGAAATTTTGAAACAATTTAATGTTGCAGTTTCGTCAACCTCAACACTTAAGAATATTACTTAGCTGAATATACTTAGCGTGCTCCACCCGACCTCGTGTTTGCACGACCTGCAGAGACGGGTTCAACTTTGCCCGCTTTGCCGCAGCAGTTCAACACCTACTGAATATCCCGGCAAAATATCCGCTAAAACACAACGCCAAGACAGCCGACTAGTGGTACAGGTTATGTTGTTAATGTTGTTATTCATCTGCGCCGACTGTGAAATTATACGGCGGAACATTAAGATCATCGCTGATTCAAACAAAGCGTATAATTTCCACCCGTGATGTGTAGCTTAGTGTCCGACAAAGTGTATGCATGTTATGTACGCGATATTGTATTTGTGATCGCGGTTCACCACCCTAGCCTAAACAACAACTTTGACCGTACTTCCCAAAGGTGTATATTAGGTATGGGGGTTACACGGAAACGGTTTATCACTCGTTTTGTACACAACGATGCTATACTGTGACTTGTGAATCTCAACAATAGTGTCTTTAGTGATTTTGCCAAAAGTGAGGTTATCCCTACTTCAACCCTAGGATAGGCCTAAAACAGCCTATTTACCTTACCATGATAGGTTTACCACTATCACCAACCAGGTAAGGAATAGGCCTACTGATAATTAAATAATAAATAGAAAAACTTAACCCCTCTATAATTTTGACCCATTACATATTATACAGAAGTTATTTTAAAACTACAGTAATAACAGTCATAATTTTTTATAAGTTTAAAAGACCCGAATAAATGCTTATGTAACTAATTTAAATACTCACGCAATTTAATATTGCTTTGAAATAATAAACGCTTCTTATAAAAATATTTTAGCATTTTTTGGACCCGGCCTTATTTTTTAGTGTTTTCTACAAATGTTTCCCGACTTAAAGCTGTTACCAGTAAACATTTCTTGCGTGTATATTTTATCTGACTTTAGGTAGGTTTACTTTACCACTGTCACAACATAATGTGTATATTCTTTGTGTATATTCTTTGTTTTTTTTTTTTTACTTCCAAAATAAGTTGCCTAGCATAACTGACAGAAATTATTCATCTCCCCAAGTGATTGTGTACCTGGATTCAATACTGTGAGACCAGGCCTCTCCTCTACTCTTCTCATACGTATAAGATTTCCTATAATTGTCTCCTCCTCTTGTCTTACTAATATTATAAATCTGAAAGTTTGTGAGTTTGTGTGTATGTTTGTGTGTGTGTTTGTGTGTGTGTTGCTCAATCACGCATAAACTACTGGACGGATTGGGCTGAAATTTGGCATGATGATAGCTCACATTCCCGATTAACATTAAAGCATATTCTTATCTCAAAAACCCTTTCGGGCTCCGCCCCAGTGGCTCTGTAGTTCCCCATGTTAATCTTATGATTTTTCATATTTAAAAGGAATTAATGAATCTTAACAGCTGTTTCAATTAAACAAGTTGGTTCTGTTCTATGATGTTCAATAGCATAAAAGTTAAAAGGATTACCAACAGGGTGCAGCACTATTAATTTTTTTAATATATGACAACAGCTAATTTCCAACCAAAAGGTGAGTGAGCGTAGCGAACGAACTTCAACCTGGAGGCGAGTTAGCGTAGCGAACGAGCTAACCTGAAGGCAAGTGAGCGCAGCGAACGAGCTCCAACCTAAAGGTGAGTGAGCGTAGCGAACGAACTTCAACCAGGGCGTGAATGAGCCATGCGAATACTTATGAAGTTAAACGGGGCGAAGCCCGCGGGTACAGCTAGTTTTCAATATTTCTACTTTAAGCTTAAGAAATTGCCTGTTATTCCAACAAAACTGATTGACTGTTTAGATTTGTCTATAACCTCCTAAATATTACAAACATCAATATTTACTCCCAAAAGCTTGTGAGTTTCTTTTTATATACAGCTGTTTTTGTTTTTAAATTTGTTTTCAATGTAATTCTTATAGGGAAAATGTGACCTTTGAGAGCGTATCGTGCCCATAAGGGTAAAAGTTTTAAGATTCTAAAACCTTTATGCAAAACTATCAAATTGAGACGAATTATTTGACACCTCAAACATTAAAATCTGTCCAGAAATAACGGAGGAGTTTTGTTCACAAAAAACAGCCCTCACGTATTAATATAACAGAAGATGGTAGGGAATCACTTACCACTCCACTGCTTTGACGTAATCGGCCACACAAAGTCCATTATCGGTCGACGTCCTTTCCACCACACTTTCAGGCAATACCACAGATATCTAATAGAACATTACATATTATTCAATAATAAAAGTAGCTTACATACTTTTTACATTTTAGCCCACTATTTCTATTCAACTTTATAGTGCAGTGGAGTCTCGGCATGCGATCAGACCTGTATTATGTGACGACCGTTTACCACAAATTAGTTAGTAGGCCTACTTAAATGTATTTTTGTCCGTTATTGTGTTTTGTACATGTGTGTCGGAAAGACTGTGACGTGACCATTATGGTTTATACAATTTGTTTGTAAGATTTAACAATGACGCATTGAAGTCAAAACACGTGTAATCCTATTTTTGGACTACATGGATCACTTGGCGATTAAGGTAATGCAACTACATATATATAAAATTTATAGAAGAGGAGATAATAATTTAATGAGGAAAGGGTGGAATGGATACAGTTATAATCAAAGTTCAATTCGAGAGAAAAGTAGCGACGGTCAATAAAAACACAAAATCAATGAGTAATAAATAACCATACAAACTCAACAATAATAAACGGTAACTGAACATCAACATCATTACAACAAAATATCTATTGTTCTAACAAAATATTTTTTTTTCAAGGGAATCAAAGGCCTGAATTGTAAAGGAGAGGTGTTTAAACTACAACTGGGCTTCAGTTCTGATAGGCTATATTGTAGAAATCAAACACTAGTTAAAATTACACATAACAACTAACCTGTGACACTTTTGATTCAATATAAACTTACCGGAACAAAAGTGGGACAAAAGGCCAGATCTGATGTAACTTTGGCTTCATCTTTTGGTTTTGTTTTTCAGGAAAAACATGATCCAGTTTAACGCTCCATCCGTAGGAGGGCACTTGAGAAAATTTGCTGTCCATTGTAATGACTTAAGGATGCTGTAATTAAACAAAAGATTTAGGCGATAGGCCTGATGCACATTTATCTTACTACCTTCACATCGTTTCAAAGAAGGATTAGAAAAAAGACTAACAGCCACTGGAATGTTGGTTTTCCATTCACTGGAACACCAAGTTCTGACTATTTGTTCTATCATTTTTAAATTGTGCATTTTAATGTGTGTTTATAAGAGCATTGTGAATAGCTCGGTTTCAGCCACACTTATTAGCATTGGATTTAACTTAAAACAAATTTACATAATATTCACATCTTCAATTACGATCTTTTACCTGCATATAAACAAAGGACAAAAATGTTTCAACCAACTCCCAGATCAGTTGAAAATATTCAAAACATAAACGGCTTTAAAAATAAACTTAAAGACTTCTTCGTAACAAGACCTTTCTACAAAATAAATGATTTCTTTGAGGCTGTTCAAGATGATGTGAAGAACAGAAATAAATCCGGACGAGCCCCCTTTCTTAAGGAGAGCGGAGGCGAACACCCACAAGTAACAAGTATATATATATAAGAGCATATCGAGTGAGTTGTAAAATGTAAACAAGGAGACTTCTCAGAGCACACTGCTCCCTCTGCCTAAAAATTGACTAATTTACCGGTAAGTTGTTTTAGTGACAACTTAACGGTAAGTTACCTATGGTAAGTTATTATATTTGCTAAGATTACCAAACTAGAATAGGCTACTTGATTTAATTAACAAATAGAGCTAAAAAATGCACGATTGCCTTAGTACCTATACTACAGAAAACAAGAAAAACACATGATACAAATAACAATTATTGCCAAAAAATATGATTTATTGAGCTAGCACAATGTAAAAATATAATGGAAAATTACTGAGAGCATTTTATTAGTAGCCTGGAGGAGTTTTTGGTTGTGATACCCATTCAAGGAAAACTGATCCTTAAAAAACCAAATAATGTAGGCTACATTTAGGTTATCATTTTTTTCCTTTACCGGTAATTCTAAACCACTACATACATTTATTATATTATCTATTGTCAAAAATATGTCATGATGTTAACGCACCACACCAATGTTAGCCATAAAAATGTTCATACATAGGCCTATTGTTTTCTTAGCATTTTATAGCATATTAGCATGTTATTGTAAATGGTTGTTACCGTCAAATAAATAAATAAATAAAATAAAATAAAACATAAAGTAGGCCTTCTAGGGAAGATTCTCTATCTGACACGCATACTTTCTCCCATTAGCTTGTCAATAACATTTATCATAAGGTGGTAGGAACTAATTTAGTCTATAGGAAGAATCACAAAAGTTGCAATAACTTTTGAACCATGTTTGTTACAGCAATGGGGGTGGCACTATAAGGACCATAACACATTTATTTGAATTAAGACCAAATTATTTCCTAAAATTCAACTTTTTGTTATTTTATAGGTTTTTTTATGGGAAAATAATATAAGTTCCAATAACTTAACTCTTGAACCATAATTTTTACAGAAATCGGTTTTACCATTTTGTTTATAATTTATAAGTAACGGTAACATAATAATATTGATCAAAACCGTGTTTTCATTAAATCCAATTTTTGAGTTTTTTATGTGAAAATGGCATAAGTTAAGTAGCCTAACAATAACTTTTGAACCATATTTTTTACGGAAATAGAATTGGTACCTCCCATTTTTTCAGAATTTATAGCACTATAACTTAAGTTAACATAGGTCTAACTTATATACTAAATTTTTATCAAAATCGTTCAGCCCATTTACGAGAAAATCTGATTTTCCCGTTACGGTATTTTATGGGTTTTATGGAAAAATCACCATTAAAAATAAAAAATTTTTAAATGAAAAATCGCCTGGAGATAGGCCTACAATGGGTTAGTGCCTACAGTACATACCAGATTTCCTCAAAATCGGACTACAGGTATACAGGTATTACAGATATGTAACTCTGTAAAAGAATAACACCCTGTATCCTGTAGGTTAACCCACAACATGCCATTCCAGCTAGGCCTATTTCTTCCAAGAAGTAAACTATAGGCCTACTAGGCAGTGTTTCCATTCGCGGGATTACCTATTATCCCGAAAACGGGATTTTTAGACCTTGAGCGGGATTAAAACGGGATGCGGGATAAAACGGGATTTTCGGCTGTGACAACTATTTTTATTTTTTTTCTACTCAATTTTAGAGAAAAACTAACTCAAATTGTTTAAATACTGTAGCAAAATATAATAGTGATGTTTAAACAACTTACAAAAATGATACGTAAAGTTTGATACTAGGAATTGTACCAAAAAAATCATGCGGGATAAAACGGGATTTTTCACCGATATAAAAGCGGGATAAAACGGGATTTTTCGACCCTGTAAGCGGGATTATTTTTTTGGTCGTGTGGAAACACTGCTACTAGGCATAGTTAAATGGTTAATTATTATACAGTTACAAATTCAAAATGTCTGAGGATCAGTGATAGTTATAAGTTATAGGCTGTAGTGGCCTACCTAAGATAATCTATTTTTCAACAAACTATGTTGGTTTGGGTGTAATAATGGAGGGGTTCAGTTCTAGATACTTGGAGTCTACATATGTATGCCATTGTATAGGTACTTCATGTCTCATATCTAAGTTGTGACGATTGTCAATACACTGTATTTATGTATTTCATGACAACAAATATTCTTGATTCTAGGGACCGGCAAATAGGTTAAACAAAAATACAAAAAGACTCAGTCTAAGTAGGCCTAGATAAGTTTTAAGTTTAAAATATTAAAATAAAAAAAAATATATATTTACAGTTTACTTAAGAGGTCTTAATAGCCTACTTCATAAAGTTTACAAATCTAGGCCTAATCTTCAACAGATAGATTTCAAAGTTAGACAAACTGATAAAGCGAAATTTTACTTACCAAATTAATGAATGTACTATTTTTAATAAAAAAAGATCTTATAATATAATCCTAGTCCTCTAGATCTAGACTATATGAGTACTATCACATAGACTAGACTTTACTTAAGAAAGAGTTAGTTATTGTATTTTGTTATGTTCGGTTCATGTTCATTTCATAAACAAGGTTGCCATTTTTTTATCAATACGCTATTTTTATCAATAAAAAAAAACAAAGTCAACGTCAACAGCATAACTATTCAGCTGACTAAATCCAGTGATTTGAGTAAGCTAGTAAGCAATGCTGCATGTACCTTTGAATATAGGACAGTAGTGGGTTTTGTAAGAGTAGATTATATTCTCGCAACCAATTCTTTGACCCGCTATAAAATCTCATACAATTTCATAATATTGCAATTCTCTAGTCTGCAGCCAAAATTACAAAAATAATTCAAATATAAAATTCTTGTTAGGTGTTGTGTCTAAAAAATAAAACTATCTGTTCCAGATATTTGGCGATGAAGGCCTATCATTCACTTGTATAATAAAACCGATAATTTAATAATTATTAATTACCAACTGCTGTAAAATAATTTATTGGTTCCATTACACAAAGCCACATGGCATTTATTGAAGCCTGTCAGAAAGCAGAAAGAAGTATCCATCCAGCCATATCCAAAGACCAAAATTCAACTGTCTGTCAAGTGTCAATTGTCAATTAAATTATAGTTTTAGGTTATGTTTCTGGTAGGAAAACGTGTTTATATTCAAATATGTAATCCTTCTAATTTAATATTTACATATCGGTTGCAGAATACTTTGAAACACTTTTTATTCTGACGATCTTACATTTAATAAGCCTAAACATGCCTAAAGTTAAAACAGAAAAGAAATCAAGAACACACCAAGAAGTTGCCAAGCAAGGTAGGATTTTGTTTTTGGCATAGGCAAGAATAAATAGTCTTAGTTAATAATAATATGTTTATTAAATATGCATGTTGAAATAAGTGACACACCTATGACATACAAATTTTGATATTTTATAGGCATAGGCTATTATTTTATCTTGGCGATATTCAGTACCTACAACAATGTAATTTATTGGAAAATTTTCTCATGCGGGAACGCTCACCATCATCTCGGGAAAACCAAATGGTGCCTATTAAAATACAGGGGTTTTTGAAAAGTATAAGCGTATCAGGAACGCTGTTCCCATGCGTTCCCGCACTCCTACACCACTGGCGATATGTAGGCCTACAAATAATTGGATTTAAGTCTTGAAGGAGGGCTCAAGCCCCCCCCCAACCATATTATTGGCCGCCCATGGCTAGTGACATAGTTTATGTAACATAATGCTGCCAGTTCTGCTTACAAATAAATTTGCTTTGCCAATTCTAAGCTAATATACATTATTTTTTATTCTTGAATGGTTTTGATATCCAAACTAGTACGCCAAAGTTTACCTTATGTTTTCATGTTCACTGGAGATAACTTGAATGTTTCTTGTTTTAAAGGTATCCTATTCAACAAAGGATTTGGGCAACACATATTGAAAAACCCATTAGTAATTCAAGGAATGGTAGATAAATCTGCTGTTCGATCCACAGACATTGTCTTGGAAATAGGGCCTGGAACAGGTAACATGACCGTGAGGCTCCTAGAGAAAGCAAAAAAAGTTATCGCCTGTGAAATTGATACAAGGTAACTAGCATAAGTTCGTTTTAATCAATTAATTAATGTGGTTTGTCAGACCTGAGATTTCTCCTCAAACGGGTAAAACTTAGTTCATTTTTTGTTGTTGCAAGTCTCGAATAGGTAAAATAAGTGAATAGGTGATAAACTCTGTGATATTAGCTGTACCGGTAGACATTTCTTTTCTTCTTAGACTTCAATTTGAAAACTGCTCTGTATGAAAAATATTTGATTCTTCCAATATTGTAATATATCTACTGGAAATAAACATTTCTTATGTCTTATGTGTACAGCTCGTGACATGTAAGCTAGCACTTGACCAATGCTTACTAGCATCTGGTTCAAAAAATTATGTGCCGTCATGCGGGCTGCGTTAACTGACCCACATGAAGGCGCTCAAGTACATGAAACACGGGTAGGTCAACCCAGTGAGTCAGAAGAAATGTTTGCAGAAACGGTTATGGGACATAGTACCGTAATTTTCCTCAGTTTAGATGTATGACAAATAAGGTTACCTTTGCCTGACTAAGATAAAAGTGTGATTACTCAAGTCTTGGCAATTAGCATCACCTCTTTTTACTGGTCTAATGTATGAATCGTCATTAAAGATAGGATGAAAGCTGTTAGGATGAAGGCCCGAGTGCCGCCTTACATGTCACAAGCTGTAGTGTTGTTTGAAACAAATTAGCCCTCTTAGTTATTTCAAATTCAGGAGCATATCAAATAATGAAAGATAAAATTTACTGATGTTATAAATATTATTTGTCCAGTGATAGTTTTAAAGTCGAGGGTTTTACGAAGTTTGCTCATAAAACTTTTCTTTCTACTAGGTAGCTAACCTTTTTGGTGCTGCAGCGTAATACTAACCCAAACCCCAAATGGAAGTTTTTCATTCATCGTTCTCATGCTAGAATCAAATATCCTAATTGTAACTCACAACTTTTTGACTAACGACACAAACTCAGGTCATAAAGAATCTTGAACCGTGCCTTTAGGAGTTTATTAAGTCTAAATTAAATCAGCTGTTAAAAAAATTACATATTACTTATCATCATAATACTTTGGATAGGTAATGTATTTTTTAACTATTTAGTATTAAAACTTTGTGTGACAAAACATAATATTGCCATGTAATTCCTTTCCGAGACATGAAATCGAAGAATTGGTAGACTAACAATAATTATCCTTAGGCTTAGAATAAAAGCTTGTTAATGCCAGGTTTTACAAACACTTGTTTTGCAGGTTAGTCGCTGAGCTCCAGAAGCGTGTCCAAGGTACTCCGTACCAGTCTCAGCTGCAGATCTTGGTCGGAGATGTGCTTAAGACGGAACTTCCATTTTTCAACATCTGCGTGGCTAATATTCCCTACCAGATCTCGTCACCACTGGTGTTCAAGCTGCTCTTACATCGGCCGTTTTTCCGCTGTGCAGTGTTGATGGTTCAGCGAGAGTTTGCCCAGCGTCTTGTCGCCAAGCCAGGAGACAAGCTGTACTGTCGTTTGTCTATCAACACTCAGCTCCTTGCCCGAGTGGATATTTTGATGAAGGTACCGTGGCCTAAGTATATACACTATGTGCTCGGCACTGAAGTTATCCATTTAAGATTTATTTAAATAGTGGAACTATGTTAGATGTTGCATCATAAATTTTGTTGTATAGAGGTTGGCGGCATCTTTTAACCTTGCATTTGCAGTCCACATAGGCCTGTGCATGGGGTGTCTTTAGCAAATCAAGAAGCAAGATGTAAGCCGGTACACCACAAGGGTGAAATGTACTGATAAGATAAAAAAAATGGCCCCAAGTACGTAGTTCCACTGAATTACCTGATAACTACCTAACACAAAAGCAGTTTAAAATCCCTTGGAATATAAAGAACATTATTACTTAACAGCACAAACCTTGATAAGTAGACAAAGTAAGTGTTTAGAATTGCTTTCGAAGTCTTAGTATAGTTCCAAAATGTGTCAAAAATCTCATAAATTAATATATCTACCACAGGTTGGCAAAAACAATTTTCGACCACCACCCAAGGTTGAATCGAGCGTAGTGCGGATTGAACCCAGAAACCCTCCCCCACCAATCAACTTCAAAGAGTGGGACGGCCTGACGAGAATAGTTTTTGTGCGGAAAAACAAGTCACTTAGAGCAGCTTTCAAACAGAGCGTGGTGTTAACTACGTTGGAAAAGAACTACAAAGCACACTGTTCTTTGAGCAATCAGGTAATATATTTTTTTAATTGTACATATAATTTACAGATGTATAAAAGCATAACCATTGAGTGGACATCCCATCAATATGAACCAACTGTAGTAAATATTTTATTGAAATAAAACAGTAAGTCAAATTATTTGCTTCTGTTTGTGCTCATAATGTTAAATTTTTCTCTTTAACTTTTTGTTGGTATTTCTATGTTATATTTCTACTCATTCTTGCATACAACATGCTTAACTTGAAGTCTTGTATTGAAGGTGTTATATTATTTTTTCCATCTTATTTGATTGCGAAGGGAAAATACTAAACCAAATGTTTAAGCTCAAATCAAAAACTTTGTATTTTCAAGGTTTAAGAAGTGTTAAGTAAAACTTAAAACCATAGACAAAAAGAATTAGATGTAGACCGACAGCAGTGCTGCGGTTAGTTCTGGCATCCATCGTTAGGAGTGCCATGTAGTTACGTAGCGTGTGCGCTGTAACTACACGGCACTCTTAGTGGTGGACGCCAGAACATATGCTACAGCACTGCTGTCTGTCTATTTAATTCTATTTGTCTATGATAAAACATAATAATTGTTACACATGACTAGGTTGATAAATAAAAACATACGTATTTCATTCCCAAAAATGCTGTAGAATATTCTCATCTAGGAATATCCTATCATATTTTAGAAAATGTACAGACAAAATAAAATTTACAAACTAAACTCTTATGATTTTTTAGGAAATTGCTGCAGATTTTGATATCAAACAGTACGTAGATGACATATTAGCGGAAAGTGGCTTTGCTGAAAAAAGAGCGAGAACCATGGACGTAGACGACTTTCTTATGTAAGTTTCAAACTTCTTCAGCCAGTCAGCTTGAGAAAGATCTAAATCTGAACAATTTTAAAATTCACATTGTACCTGAACATGTTTAAGTAATTTTTTATAACAAAGAAGATATCTTCTTCATAACACCAATCCAAGGTGCGAAGCCACTGTGATTCAGCCTTGCTCTGTCCATGCAGGCTGACCAATCCTCCAAGTGCCATCACGGGCAACTATTTGATTCGTAGTTAACTACCTTGGATTGAATGTCATCCATTTAAATCTCCAATATCTACATCTACCTGTTCAGTAAAGCCTATTGAGCAAAGTTAATTGCTTCCATGAGAGGCTCATTCCACTTTCTGGTGTAATTTCTTCAGGATAATGTTCTGAAAGTACAATGATTTAAATATTAAAAAATCTAAACTTGTCTCAAATAGCCTATTCGTATAATCTTTGGTTTGATAGTTTAATTAGTTCCACATAATATTCATTGCTTTCCCTTAAGACTATTTAATCTGAAGCTCATACAAATTTAAAAACTAGGTTTTCAGGGTTTTTAGTGAGGATGCAGACACACCTGAATAGGTTAATAGGAACGAGTCCAAACTGGCACAAGAAACACAAAACTGTTACATATAATCAAAACCTTAGAATATTTCACTGTCACTGACAACATTTTCTACCAAGGATGAGCTAGTTTTTCAGGTCTGATAAATTCCTGTTTAAATAAATTTGCCGTGGCTAATTACCTATCTGGCCTGAGAAACTCATTCTTTGTTTAAAATGTTGTCAGTGACAGTGAAATATTACAATGTTTTAAATATATACAAACCAGTTTGCATTCTCTTCCATTCAGGTAAGCAGCTATCATATCTAAAAACAGTAAAAACCTAGGACATTGTGCTCTGTTACATCCTTAAATTTAAAAAAACCTAGTCTGTGTTCAGCATGATTGCTTATTTATTTATCTTTTACTGGTTTCAGGGTTCTCCACGCGTTCAACGTCAAAGGCATACACTTTGCTGGTTGTTGAAACAGGTTTTCATCAAATCTTGTACAAAGTCTTAGGTTAAGTGACAATAAATAATAAATACTTTTACAATTTTGAAAACTCATTTCCCTTTCAATCATACAACTCTTTGAGTAGGCTTAATGTAAGGCAAGATGTATTTCAGGAAATTTATAACTCGGGTACAAAATGCAAGTAAATTTATTTTTCTAAACAAATAACAAAGTTTATACACAGTATAATTACAATAACATGTTACTATGGATAGTTATTATGTCAATTCAGCCGAAATGTAACATATTATGTAGACAATTATATTTTAAATCAAAAACCTATAATAGGCCTAACACATACGAACCATTTGAATTTTCTAAAAGAAATAAGGCAGTTCAGTTCATTAGATATGAGGTAGGAAATGTTGCATCAAAACAAATTTCAATCAAGAGTGACTTGCACGGACGTATTCCAGCCTAAAAAGAAAACCCAGAAAAATGTTGTAAATACTATTGCACATCAAGTGTTTTTATGATACAAGTTTAAACATTCTTAAGACACTACAAATCATTCCTTAAGAAATGAACAATTGAATATATCTAAAGGAAAACCCCTGAAAGTTAAAAACGCTTCAAAACTACAAATACAAATTATTAATTAATGTATAAAATTTTCAAACCACACTGAACAAAGTAGGTAGTAACGAGCTTGATCTAAAAGAATTGTCAAGACAAAGAAAGAAGTCTACAAATAAATAATTACATGTCTTAAAGCAATCGAGGGTAAGATGCAAAATGTTTACAATCCCAATTGTTGGATCATCGGTTGTTTTTTTTTAAATTTGGTACATAATAAAATACGGTAATTATTACAGCTTAAGATTTAGTTATCATCTTACTACTGAGATTGGTTGTACAGTGAAAGCTTCTTGGGTTTATAAACCAAATTGCTGGTTCGAGAATACTTGCCAAATGGAATGGAGATTGGGATAAATTCTATTATCAGTGAAATATAGAAGAAATTCTACAACAGAGTGAAATCTAGTACTGCAGCCACTACTGGCTTACCCGTGGCTTAGGCTGCTTATAAACGGGGAAAGTAGACAGTGCCAGATTTACCACTAGGGCCGCAGCGTTTTGTAAAAAAAAAACTTGTTTTAAAAAGAAAAATTTAATTTTTTTCAGACTTAGAGGTGGGGGATAACGATGTCCCCGTGATAGCGGGAGATGTTTAAGTACTATTTTACTGCCATCGCAGGTGATGAATGATGTCTCCGTGATAGCGTGAGACGTTTACTACTTACAACCATCGCAAGTGATGAACGATGTCCCCATGATAGCGGGGGATGTTAACTAGTTTACTGCCATTGCAGGTGATGAATGTTGTCTACGTGATAGCACGAGATGTTTACTATTTTACTGCCATCGCAGGTGATAAATGATGTCTCGGTGATAGCGAGAGATGTTTACTATTTACAACCATCGCAAGTGATAAACGATGTCCCCGTGATAGCGGGAGATGTTTACTATTTTACTGCCATCGCAGGTGATGAATGTTGTCTCCGTGATAGCGAGAGATGTTTACTATTTACAACCATCGCAAGTGATGAACGATGTCCCCATGATAGCGGGAGATGTTTACTATTTTACTGCCATCGCAGGTGATGAACGATGTCCCCATGATAGCGGGAGATGTTTACTATTTTACTGCCATCGCAGGTGATGAATGATGTCCCCATGATAGCGGGAGATGTTTACTATTTTACTGCCATCGCAGGTGATGAACGATGTCCCCATGATAGCGGGAGATGTTTACTATTTTACAACCATCGCAAGTGATGAACGATGTCCCCATGATAGCGGGGGATGTTAACTAGTTTACTGCCATTGCAGGTGATGAATGTTGTCTACGTGATAGCACGAGATGTTTACTATTTTACTGCCATCGCAGGTGATAAATGTTGTCTCGGTGATAGCGAGAGATGTTTACTATTTACAACCATCGCAAGTGATGAACGATGTCCCCATGATAGCGGGAGATGTTTACTATTTTACTGCCATCGCAGGTGATGAACGATGTCCCCATGATAGCGGGAGATGTTTACTATTTTACAACCATCGCAAGTGATGAACGATGTCCCCATGATAGCGGGGGATGTTAACTAGTTTACTGCCATTGCAGGTGATGAATGTTGTCTACGTGATAGCACGAGATGTTTACTATTTTACTGCCATCGCAGGTGATAAATGATGTCTCGGTGATAGCGAGAGATGTTTACTATTTACAACCATCGCAAGTGATGAACGATGTCCCCATGATAGCGGGAGATGTTAACTAGTTTACTGCCATTGCAGGTGATGAATGTTGTCTACGTGATAGCACGAGATGTTTACTATTTTACAGCCATCGCAGGTGATAAATGTTGTCTACGTGATAGCGGGAGATGTTTACTATTTTACTGCCATCGCAGGTGATGAACAATGTCCCCATGATAGCGGGAGATGTTTACTATTTTACTGCTACCGAAGGTGATAATTGATGTCACCATGATAGCGGGAGATGTTTACTATTTTACGGCAATGGCAGGTGATAATGTCCTTGGAGTGGAGATGTTCACGATTTCGCCTTGATCGCGGGGAAGTTCTAACTAAGATGCAGGGGCCGCACAGGTTATTTTGGCACTGCGCTACAAGTACCCAAAATCCGGCACTAAAAGTAGAGACGGCAATTTCCTGCAAGTACTTGGCAGTTGCACTTATCACATACTTACCTTGTTTATAGGGATACTTTCCTTGGTAATTATGTAATAAGCACAACTGGCTGATAATTGCCATCCCTACTTTTCCGTCTATAAGCCGCCTTACACCGTATTGACAATGTCTTTACACCACTGTACAGACAAGTCAGACTATAGTGATGGACAGTAAGTTTAAAAAACCAGTTTATTTACTTACTTGCAGTTTTTATCATGCATCTTGCATTTAACTAACAGCTTTAATCATATCTTTGATGATGATTCATACATTAGACCAGTAAAATGAGGTGATGCTAATTGCCAAGACTTGAGTATTCACACTTTTATCTTAGTCAGGCAAAGGTAACCTTATTTATTTGTCATACATCTAAACTGAGGAAAATTACAGTACTATGTCCCATAACTCAGACGCAACTTACTGCTATTACTTTGAGGGCTTAAGTCTACCATTTAACATATTATGGGTTTCCAGGGGCCTGTTGTGGATACTGGTCACAGAACTGATATTTCATCAAGTGACTAAACAAGTACCAAACTTTGAAACCGAGAAGGAGTTTGGGAAAATTGTGTCAAGTTCCTACATATGGGAATCAAAGGTTTTAAGGCACCTATCTTGGGAACAAATCAATCTCTTATAATGAACATTTATATGATACAACAAAGAACGCAAGAGCCTTGTTACAAGGATTACGTTGAGAGGTAGGCTCAACATTTCACTATCACTGACAATTTAATTAGGGAAGTTTGAGTTATGTATTTTTCCCAAACTCAATCCATTTTTCTTAAAAATGCTGTCAGCGACAATGAAATGTCCACAGTGTAAAGTGTAAACTGTTATGATATAATGCCAGTATGAACTCTTTTACATTCTGATAAGCCTGTTAACCCAACAACCCATGATATTTGTATAGTTTAGATTAACAAGGCAACTCCAAATAAATTTAAACTATTAATTAAAACTCTTAAGAACAAGAAAATTCTAAGAAATAAATATATCAAAATGCTACAACTCTAGAACATGTTATTTTTTTCTGTTAAGATCACTTATACAGTAGACCCCAACTGACCTCGCAATAACCAATAATCAGATTATTCACCCTCGCTCATAAATAATGAAGATTGTTTTGAGAGTTCGGTTTAACCGCCACTTTCTATGAATCTCTGAATATTTGCTCAGCTTTGAGAACAATAGGGCTACACTAAACTCTACAGGGTATTAATAAGAATACGTTATTTTACATTAATCCTAAGAAATATTGCTTATTTGCAGGTTTGTCATAATTGTTCGTAGCATGAGTATATCTAGTCTATTTATTATCTGTGCGGCAAAGTTATAATAACAGTAAAGTGTGTTGAAATGTGTGTTTAGGCATTTATTCTATTTAATTGAACCGTACTTAAGTTAACTCTGTAAAAATAAAAAGGTGTTAAAACATAAAGTGTATTTTTTTAAAACATATATACAGTTCTACTGTATATACAATTCTAAACATCAAAATTACATCGGTGAAACAAAAACGGTTCGTTGTTAAGCGCATTGGACCGTTTTGACAAAGGTGCACTCGTGAAACAAATTAGGGACGAACTGGGTGTTGAACAACCGTCAAAGACTGGCGCCGTAACGGGAAATCTTTATAAGATTTTTGTACTCAGATCAAATCTGACAGCGTTGGCGACACGGTGTTCATTAACTAACAAATGATCTTGTAGTTTATGCACTGTAGTTGTGGTTTACGCAAGAGAGGCGTAAAGGAAAAAGCCCCATTAAGTCGCTGAATTTTAAAGGAAAATGCAACCATGCTTCATTCTAAGATTGAAAATTGCAGCAGTTTCACTGCCAGTAACGGATGGTTCGATAGGTGGGAAAAAAGACATGGCGCCCACTTTTGTCTGTTTAAACGACCTTTTGAGCTATCCAACATAGGTCCAGTCCCGTTAGGGTCAGTTAAGAGGGGGTCTACTGTATCAAGAATATTAGCTATTATCTTATAAATAAAATTGTGCAAGCAATTTCGGCAAACAGCATTGTCATATATGTAACCTAACAGTGTTGTAAATATAAATAATAACTGTGTACAAGATTTTAAGTCACTATGTCATGTGTTTTAACTATATTGGAATGTTTTTTTACCAATTTTCACGCATATAATGTACAAAGTCTAGGACACTGAAGCGATGTGCCATTTATTTACAAATTACTTATCTCACTTTGATCTTTTTTTTGAGTATTTGCATCGTTTATATCTCTCAGGTGAGGAAGTGGATGACTGTCGGCTACGATGGCTGTGAATGGACCTGTACGAGTTTGACCGGCTCCGGGAGCAACTAGGGAGGTCGGAGAAAT